ATTTTTTTCTTTTCCCTCTACCATTCCTTGATCCTCAACTTTATTCTATTGAAAAGAAGAGGTGCAGAAGAGAGAATCAAGGAATAAGAATATATATTTTTCGTAGAACAAAGGCTCCACTCATCAAAGAAAAAGGCATCAATTAAGTCCTTGTTATTGTTTTGCCAATACTCAGGGTATATGATCTTATCTCTAGTGCCCAAAAAGAGAACAGACAAAATCTAATATGAGGTTCTTATCTTTCTTTTCTTTTTCGAAGGAATTTGTCACTACACGGCAAAGGCCAGAAAGGGTCTCTTTCTAAATTTCTAATGTATTAATTTGTCTTTGGACTGATGACCAATTGATTCATATATATTATTGTGTATAGGGCTTAAAATGAAAGATTAGCATATCATTAAATGCCAAGCCATTGCCTTTACACTACATTTTGCTTGGAAGAGATTCCAGAGATGCTTCATTCACACTCTACATTCAATTTATTCCTGAATACAAGGAAATATTTTAAATATGAAACATGATTGCTCCATTGAGTAACTTGACTGATGAAAACACATGGGTTATTAAAATTGATCAACAACTAATCATTGAAGTCACTGAAACCAGAATGAAATTTTGATTGATTAGCATGGAGAAATCGAATCCTTATAAGTTGGCTCTCAAATGTAATTGAGTTTGTGTGTTGCAAGTTGTACTAAATAATTCAGCTGCCAATAATTGATCAATTGATCAAGACAAGTTTGGATCTATATGTATACGTACGTACAAGAATAGAAAGGTTTGATTTGGCCAATTATTGATTCCCGAAATGACAATCTTGGAATGATGGAGACTAGTTTCGATGAAGCAAATGGGTGAATTCAACAGCAGGAATTTCCTTAATTACGTGGGTTTTGGACTGAAGATCTAATTGTAAGTTTGTTTGTTTGTTTTTCTTTTTTTGGTAATCATGCATGGCAAGTTCAAGTCAAGCTCGCATGAACAAATTAAGTGGACTTGTCATGCCTAGTATATGCTCTTTGCCAATTTGTACGTGTGATCAACCCACTTCGACTTATTTGAATCTCTCACCTCTTACCTAATTTATATAGAAGGTGACGACGACTAGCAATTTTATCAAAATCTAAACTTTTTTTTTATCAACAAACAAATTAATGAAACATATATAGGTCACTAATGAGTACTTATTATAAACACACCAATTTTTAGACAATTTCTTAATTTTTAAAAGAAGTTTGAATGTTAATTAATTTAAGAACTTGTGTTTACTCCTGCATGCAAATTAATTAATGATTTTTAGGTTCTAAGTCTAGTTGCTTTTGAGCCTATATCATTTAGCGATCATGACTCGAGATGTATATAGTAGTGCATGCGTTTTGTTTCGTAATTTAGATGGCGGCAAACGTAGAGTAAAACCCAAGGTACGTCCTTGTTGTCTCCAAACTTTGCAAGAGAGAAATTGCAGGAGCTAGGGCATGCAAATTAAGATATATATATATATATATATATTAGAATGGTCAGCAATCAACAAAATAGTTGGTAGTTAGAAATATTGTCATGCTAAAATGACATTCACATGGAATCATATATTTATTTATTTAGTTTGATTTCAAATTCTAAGTGCAAATCATATTCAAACTTGAGATCATGATCATACGTTTTCATGAGGTATAATTGCATGGTTTCAAATAGAGGGAAGAAAATTTTGAAAATTGAACGTTTCATTTCTTAAAAAAAAAAAAATATTAAACTATACGATTTTGTCATCAATAACATAATTGATCATGATAAATTTGATAATGAATGAAAACAAAATCTTAGATGTCATTTTGGAAAATGTCGAAATCTTTGGGCGGCATCTGCGTACAGAACTATAAATCATAACTAGCTAGAGTGGTATGGACAATAATTATATTTTAAGCAATAGGCCAAAAATCATGTACTGTCCTCTATCGGCATTACGCATTTGGTCAAATCAGACCCTCTATTTTCTTTTTGGATCTAATTAATCAAACCTTATACTTTCAATCAACGGCAATTTGAGATCCGATTTCATCATAACTCTTGCCACTTAATTATCTGGCCATTTAAAGGAGATCAAATCACCTTCCCCATTTAAAGTGAAGGGTTTGCTTGACCAGATGTGAAAAAAAGAAAAAGAGAGACCACAGACAGCCATTAATAAAGAAGAGCAGTGTTGGAATAGTTCTTCGAATTTGGTTGCATTAAAGTTGCTTCTTTCGAATTGGTTGAAGAAGATTGGTCTAGAATAGATGGGGCTATATATATATATACATATATATTATCTAATTGATATAACCAAAATCTATGGTCACCATTGATGAAGCTCGTAGGAATTCCTTACTAGTTGCTTCTCTGTCTTCTTGGAATCAGTATATGTTATTAAGGAAATAAAAAAAAAGGAAATTAAATGTTCAAGCATATATGTTTGTGTTCAAGGTTTGAAATTGTTATTTATAGCCCAAAAGTAAACTTTTTTTTATTATTATTATGTGGGAAAAGAGGATCAAAGTGTATCATTTTATTGAAAAATAAGACAAGATGTTAAAATTGGTAAGACTAGTATTGAAAGATTAATGTGATTAAATTATGATGATTTGTTCTCATATATTAACACAAAGTTGCACACTGAAGAAGCAAAGTTGGGGCAAACACAGGTCAACTACCACCAAAAGTTAGCTCTTGTAAGCCAAGCTTCTAAAGGTTTCATTTCAATCAGATGCCTTGTCTTCTTATTTTCCCATTATTTTCAATATATATATATATATATATTGAAAAAAAAAAAAAAAGGCAGCACCTTTTAATTGGTAAAGGTACTGTGGCCTGGGCTCAGCTCTGCTTAAATTAAAGTGAAAAAAAACATAGCTTCCCTCAGTGACACACCAGCACCTTTTAATTTAGTGGCATGATGAAAGTAGATGCACCTACTTTCGAGGAAAAAGCCCTCTTAAATCAGAGGGCACATACCCTACAATTTAAGGATGTGCAGCACATTTTCAGTCAATTAAATGGTGCCTTTAATTTGGCAATTATGTCTGATTTAAGCACAGATATTTAACCAAATAACTTATCCACGAAATTATAGTTCAACGATAGTAGTTTTTTTATAATAAGAAATTACGAATTTAAATTTTAACAGATTTGTTTCGTACAGAATCTTAAATATTAGATACGCGAATGAAAAACAATACGTAGAATAAAAAAAATGTGATTGTGTTTAGGTGTGAATCCACGGATGTTTTTAATTGCAAAAATTATTTTTTACAGTATTATTTTTTTATTATTTGCAACACCTTTGATTTGACTGAGGAATTAAAATAGAAACAAATTTTCAACAGAATTAGGTTAGAGAAAGTCTACTATCAATTCAAGAATATATTCAAATATAATTTATTTAGACTGTCGATTTTCAAAAAAAATTAACAGAATAACTAATTAGAAGTTAATAAGAATAAAACCTAGTATAGATGATTATGATTTTTTGATTTAGTACTATGAAAATACCATAAATTTTCATGTTCTCAAATTAGTGGGGAGCATGTGAATTTTTTTCATTTTTTTAACAGAAAAAAAAAAAGTTAAGGAGAAGGGAAAAAAAAGAGAGACAAAAGCTTTCAAAGCCCAACAAAAGCAGGTCAAAGCTGGAATACGCAAGACAATGCTAGCTCAGTTTTCTTAAATGAAAAATATATAAAAAAATACAACATTCACTGTATCAGAGTAAATTATAAATTGGTCCTTCTAGTTTTATAAAACAGAATAAATGGTTTCTTTTTTTCGAAATTAATTATTCAGTCCTTATATTTTTAAATCTGTTTGTAATTTAATCTTTCTCATTCCTTTTCAATTTATTTTGTTATTTTTTTATGAAATAAAAAAGAGAAATAAATAATATGAAAAACGATGATAAAATAAGATAATTTTTGAAAAAAAATAAAGAGGTAGCTTATAGAACAAAAGAGACTATTTAATTTATTTTTTAAATTAAAAGGACTAATTTATAATTTATAATGCAATAAAACCCACCACCTCCATCTTAGTTTTTTGGGATCAATAAGGACAGGCTGGAAGGATCCAAACTCCAACCCCACTTCCATTATTATTTGACGAGAGGAGGAGAAGAAGAAGACCATCATCAATCCACAAAACTACCTCAAAACTAACTGATTTTTCCTTACTTGCACAAAAACTACACTCAAAAAAGGCAAAAACCATTATTAAAAAAAAAAAATGTAATTGAAAAAAAAAAATGAAAACAAAGAAACAAAGAGAGTTGGCAAAAAAGCAAGAAAAAGAAGCCTTGTGCTCTCCTTTTCCCTTTTCTTGCAGCCCCTGCTAAGCATCTTTTCTTCACTTTTTTCCTGTGCTTTTGCAGCCCCCCATTCTTTCTCTCTTGGAATATAATTTTCTTGTAGTTTTGTTTCTTTTGTTTCTCTCAGTCTCTTCTCTATTCTCCCTTTTTAAGCTTCTTCTCCTAAAATTTGCTTCTTATTTATTTAGCTCTTCCTTTCCTTCTAAGCATTTGTTTCTTTGATCAGTAAAGTCCAATTCCTTTTCTTTTTTTTCCCACCCCATTGAATTTCTATTTTAAATTTCCCACCTTTTCAATCCAAATTAGCTGGCAAATTCTGGTGCTTTGGAATTTACAGTGCCAATCATTTCTGGGTTCTTTTGATTAAATTGTAAAAAATTTAATCTTGAATTCAGTTTTCTTGCTTACTTTTTTTCGGGGTTCAAATGGTCTAGATATCTGCACCTTTTTTTTTTATATTCTCTTTCTTGTATAATTCACTCATTCACTGTGAAATTTTCTTTCTTTAGCCTCAAATCCTTGAATTTAGTCACTCACTTTCTTTGTTTTTTTTTCCTTCTTCTCTTCAAATGGTCTAAATTTCTTCACCTTGTGTCTTGATCGAAGTTCCTAACTTTCTTGATTTAGAAGTGATTTCTTGAATTCTCTATTTTGGGTTCTTGTTTCCATGGGACTTTGTCATGGAAAACCCATTGAGCTCCAACAAAACCAATCCAAAAACAACACACACTCCGTTGAAACAGACTCAACACAACCACCAAATTCACACACTACCAAGACCTCAAACTTCCCCTTTTACAGTCCAAGTCCATTACCAAGTCTCTTCAAGACTTCACCTGCTATATCAAGTGTAAGCTCCACTCCTTTGAGGATTTTCAAGAGGCCTTTTCCACCTCCTTCTCCTGCAAAGCATATACGTGCATTGCTTGCGAGAAGGCATGGCTCTGTTAAGCCCAATGAAGCTTCAATTCCTGAGGGAAGTGAGAGTGATATTGGTTTGGACAAGAATTTTGGGTTTTCTAAGCAGTTTGTAAGTCATTATGAGCTTGGTGACGAAGTGGGGCGTGGACATTTTGGGTATACTTGCTCCGCTACGGCAAAGAAAGGGAGCTTGAAAGGCCAGGATGTGGCAGTCAAAGTTATTCCAAAGTCTAAGGTTTGGTTTGCATCCTCTCATTGACTATGATCTTTTGATTTTGACTAGCTTTTATTTGTTCGAGTAATTACTTAGATTAGCTTAAAACTTCGGATGTTTGAATTGTTATGTGTTCTACTCATGTACAGATGTGATTTATTTTTATGTTTGTAGGCACACCTTTCTTTTGTTGCTGATATTTAGCATCTATAGAGGTTTAATGCAATTTTGGCTGCTATTGTTAATTGTAACTGATCTGCCTAGCTTTGGTTGTGATAGTTGGGGAGTGTAGGATGACATTCAGGTGCATTACGTATCCTGTATAAAAGGGTTTTGCTGATTATGTTAAAGTTGTGTTATAATTATTGTTCTTCAGGCATGATGAAAATGATGGATTTTCTCAAGGTCCTTCCCGGAAAAATGCAGTGCTTCTCTTTTGTTTGGGACATTTGTAACTTTTATCTTAACACTACCTTCCTTATTAATTGGTGTATAAGCATTTATTAGTGGATGCTCCATTTCATGTTTAGATAATCCAGGCTCAAGAAAAACATGATTGATGGGTCCCTATGCTCTAATTTAGTCAGTGATAATTGAGTTAAATGTTTTTTTCTTGTACCACAAAGCTTTTTGTCTGTTTGGAAATTGACTGTGGAAACCAATGAAAGACACATTTTTTTCTATATGATTTAGGCCTCAGTAACAATTATTTATGTCATAAATGATAGTCATTTGGACCATTGACCGTAGAACCAAAGAGCTGTTTGTCTTGTTCTCATGTAAATTGGGCAATGCTTTACAGATGACCACTGCAATTGCTATAGAAGACGTGAGACGAGAAGTGAAAATATTACGGGCTCTAACGGGACATAAGAACCTAGTGCAGTTCTTCGATGCATACGAAGATGATGAAAACATCTATGTTGTAATGGAGTAAGTTTTGACTGCACTTATATTTTACGTAAAAAAAGGATTTAAGTGTGTTATGTTTGTCTCGGTTATACAAGTAATGTTTATGGCTCAAAATGAGATAATGACTGCCAAGATAATGACGAGAGATAAGGACAATCAGATAAGCCTAGTAACTAACTAATGCTTTTAACCCCTTCTTGTTTTGGGGAATTTTATAAGCATAAAAGACTTGCAATTCACAATTTCATAAACCTTTTGGCTGGTTGATCTTCAACGTCAAAAAATTTAGACCAATTATATAAATGATTCTGCCATGTCCAATCAAATTTGCTTTTAGTGAAAATCTTATGGAGTTGACTGATACACAGTCTTCATGTTAACCAAAACTCATGGAAAAAATAATTATGTGAGTCTTTTTGTACATTTGCATCTATGTCATCTGTAAAACATTTGCATCTAATTATCAAGAAGCAAAAGAACAGAAAGAAGAGGTTAATCCATTGGTTAGTTAAGTTTCTACATTTATAGTAGCATAGACTTCGGACGGATATGTTTTACCTATGGAACTTACCATCTACATATATTTTTGTTCTTTAGGTTGTGCAAAGGTGGTGAATTATTGGATAGGATACTCTCAAGGTACTGTACTCTTAAATTTGTTTTCTTCTTGGTATATCCGTGTCTTGTTCTGTGACATGCTAACTGGCTGAACTCCTATTCGTATTGTACAGGGGTGGAAAATACTCAGAAGAAGATGCAAAGACCGTTATGGTTCAGATATTAAGTGTAGTTGCCTACTGCCATCTCCAAGGTGTCGTTCATCGTGACCTTAAGCCTGAGGTAAGCAATTATATAAAAATATTTATATCTTCTGTTCATGTTACTTTTTCTGGAAGATACTTAATTCACTTCATAAAGTTAAATGTGACACTGTTAATATTTCGTGAATATAAAAGTTTTTGGTGGGAAATGGGAAGTGAAGTTTATCCTGTTGTCCTTTAGGAATTTTGGAATGCTGCATTTTGTTCATGTATCCAGACGGTGCTCTATAATTATTGCAGATCTTTCTTTCTCTTAATTTCTTTCTTTTTTTCTGCTGTTTGTTGTTGAGATGGAGCTTTGACAGAAAGAGGTAACACATTACCATTAGAGTTTTGAATTTTTACTTTTTACATCCTGCTTCCATTAAATATGTATAATGATACTAAAGGGAAGTCAGAAATGTCTGCTTCGCCCGTGGCTGTAATTTCTTGTATAGTTAGTTTTCTTGATCAATGGATAGCTTCACTAATTGATGTTGTGCAATTGATTGAACAAGACTGTTGATAAATAGTACATGTAATTGCATGCCAGCATATCCTCTTTCTTTTCTAATCATTTTCTGCAAATTTTACTTCAGAATTTTCTCTTCACCACCAAGGAGGATAATTCCCCTTTGAAAGCAATTGATTTTGGACTCTCTGACTATGTAAAGCCAGGTCAGCATTACTGGATACAGCTACTCTCCTTTTTTTTTTTTTGTGGTGGGGGGGGGGGGGGGGTGTTGGGGAAGATTTGATGGTGGATGGGAGTTTTTTACTATTTGAAAATTTTGCAGATGAAAGGTTAAATGACATTGTGGGAAGTGCATATTATGTAGCTCCTGAAGTTCTGCATAGATCATATGGGACCGAAGCAGACATGTGGAGTATTGGTGTAATTGCTTACATTCTTCTATGTGGTAGCAGACCCTTTTGGGCCCGGACAGAATCTGGCATCTTTCGTGCTGTTTTGAAAGCAGATCCAAGCTTTGATGAAGCTCCTTGGCCTTCTTTATCCCCTGAAGCAATAGATTTTGTGAAGAGGCTGTTGAACAAGGACTATCGGAAGAGACTAACTGCTGCTCAGGCTCTGAGTAAGTTCTTAAAGTTAAAGTCTTGATTTGATCACCCAACATATGGGGTCAACAATATAATTCTAAGGTGGTTACCTGGATTTTTATGTTTAGGTCACCCATGGCTGGCTAATCATCATGACATAAAGATTCCATTGGATATGATAGTATACAAGCTTTTAAAAGCATATATATGCTCATCTTCTCTACGGAAATCTGCGTTGGGGGTAAGTAGATCCTGTGTTCTCCATTTTATTTCAAGTCATAATCTACTCATTCAAAGTCAAATTGTCTGAAGTTTATGTGCTGTCTTATTCCGTTCAGAAGAACCAAAAAAAAGAAAAGAATGCAGCCTTATTGAGGATTACTGTAAAATGTACTGACAATTCCAAAAAAATCCAATCCATGCAGGAAAGTAATTATGTTATGCATAAATTAATGGATAAATAGGATCATTCAAATGCATCTTGTTGTTGTACTGGTTTTAGAACACTCAGCACATGGGTGCTTAAGGTAATGGGTACAACTATGTAGAGTTTGTCTGTATCATAAACCAAAGGTCAATTCCAGCTGGAGGAGCCACAAACTTGTTTATTTGTTTGGTATAATGTCCTTCATATAAATCTCAAATACTCACTGTGAAAGCCACAAACTTGTCGGTTTTGACAGGCACTGGCGAAGACGTTAACTGTTTCTCAGCTAGCCTACCTCAGGGAACAATTTACACTGTTGGGGCCAAGCAAAAATGGCTTCATTTCTATGCAGAACTTTAAAACAGTGAGCTACTTCTCTTCCATCTTTTGGCTATCAGTATCAACTTTTGTACTCTCTCTCTCTCTCTTTTATTTTTTCTTTTTGGTGTTTCTCATGTCATTCTGAAAGATGTTGGTATTTACAGGCTGTAATCAAGCACTCTACGGATGCCATGAAGGATTCCAGGGTCCTTGATTATGTTAGCATGGTAATGCTTAACACATGTTCTGTTTATTTGTTTATGTACTTTTCTTGTTTAATTGTCTGTACTATTCTATCAAATTTATTTATGAGAAGAAATGGTTTAGAGTTCTAGTTAATTGTCTACTCTTTTGTGTTTCAGGTTAGTTCTCTTCAATACAGAAAATTGGATTTTGAAGAATTTTCTGCTGTTGCTGTAAGTGTGCATCAGCTGGAAGGAATGGATTGTTGGGAGCAACATGCTAGGCTTGCCTATGAGTTGTTCGAGAAGGATGGAAACAGACCCATTATGATAGAGGAGCTTGCCTCAGTATGTTCTTTCTCTCTCTCTCTCTCTCTCTCACACACACACACACACACACAAGCGCGCGTGCACTCCACACATGCTCCAGTCACCCTCATAGTGGCAGAGCTAGGAATTATATCTGGGGGACAGTTAAATGTACTAAAGTCAAAAGGCAGTTCAGAGATGTAATGGATGGATTTTGAAGTTGCATGTTGGAGGCTACTAAGTAACTTATTTATTATATTTTGAAGGAGCCATTATGTATAAAAAATGTCCTAGACTGTTTTTGAAAAAAAAATTACAATTAAGGGACTTAATTGAACTTTGGACAGGCTGTGTCTCTCACCACCCTAGATCTACCTCTGCATAGACACACTTTATGTTTTTACCTGTCATAATACTCAACAATTTGCAGATATCTGAAGTAATTTAATAGGAATGTTCTAATCTTAGAGCTGAATTCTTGGTACAAAAGTACCATTGTGAATGCAAAATGGTGCAAGACTGGATCGACCAGTAAGGAGGCCCTGATTTGATTGCCAAAGTACTTGATATTGTTTTAGACTGGTTGGTCCAAATTATTTTTTCACGCCTGTAGGACCTTTTTGGTTCAGTTCTTTTATTTGCAACTTACAAAACAAGGTGATTGCAGTGGCTAAGACTCAAATTTGAAGTTTCTAATCATCAATTTTTTCTCTTAGAACATAGAAAAGTTGGAGGTCCAGGTCTATTTAACTGATAAGTAGTTTCCTCCCTTGCCTGAGAAAGGGGGAACTAAGATGATGAAGCAAGTCTGCTCTATTTAGAGACTCTTTTCAAGTGAATCCAAGTACTAAAATTATTTGCATCTCTGTTGTCAGGAACTTGGCCTTAGCCCGTCAGTACCAGTTCACGTTGTTCTCCAGGACTGGATAAGACATTCAGATGGTAAATTAAGCTTCTTGGGGTTTGTCAGGCTTCTCCATGGAGTTTCTTCACGAACATTTCAGAAGGCTTGAAATTGGTCCTACCAACACAAACTATTTTGTCCAGTGTCTTCCTTGAACTGCAATGGCACGAGGGGACTAAAAGTCCAAAATGGCATGACCAATTTAACCCAAAACAGGCTAATGTTCTCTTGATCATCACAAAGGGTGCTGTAAGTTGCAACTTTAGTCAATGTAGCATGCACTACCGGTGAAGCCATGCAAGGCATGATCTCATGTTAATTATGTTTTCCATTTTTTTTCCTCTTTACCTATTGAAGTCCTTTTTTCCTCTCTCTATGATTGATGCAACTGGGATTAGAGGATTGTACAAATGAGGGTAGATCAGAAAAGTGTATTTAGGGTTAGCAGACAGCTTTAAAACTAAGTGGGTTTTGTGTTTTTGGGTTTATCCCTAGTGTACCCATCGCACTAAGTTTTCTAATAAATCCTTCATGTGATCTGCATGAAGAGTTATCAAACTGCGAACTTTGCCATCGGATGGTTTTTACTGCGTTTCCATCTCCAAGCTAAACCAGTAATTCATTCAGTTACCGTTTCGCTACCAACTCCTTCAAAAGAAGGGGTTCGAAAAGATTTATAGAACTGTAGAATTACACATTTTCCTGCTGCGGTTCTTGGCTTCCAGTGGTTCACTCAATGATGATCTAGAAAATATAACAGTACTGCCATTTGGTCGCTTCTACTTTCCTTGATTGTGAACTGTTGGGTTGGCACTCGGCATGATGAAAATTGAACGGCCCTTGTAATGATGATATTCGTTCGCTCAATGTCTGAACATGTTATCTCTTGCAGATGACCTCGTAATTCAACTATGATACAGAAATACCTATGTTCATGTCTTTTTAGGAGGTTTTGTGTTCGAATCTCTCTCTTGTAGTCCAAAAAAGAAATGGAAGAAGTTATTTTTGCATCAATGCTCATTGATTTACGTACACGTTTGATGAATGATGTGAATAAATGTGTTCATGTAGAACTTGTGATCCATTTCCATGAGAGAAGACTCCAGCATCTAGTCGAATCTGTCTTCGTTTTCAGGCGTGACAATTTGCATATTGTAGAATCTGCTAGCAAACGAAGGCCATGTCCCGAACAGGAACTGAAAAGCTAAAACAAACTTTTTTTTAAAAAAAAAAAAATTGCATGCCTTGTATTACCTAAAAAACTAAACCAAATAGAGGTGAGACTGTTCATGCTACAGTCCCCCTCTCTTTTTCCGTCAGGCCTCTTTTTTTTTTTTCTTTTCTTTTTCTTAACACACACCCCCCTTCTTTTTTCCCCCTGCCTTTTTTTTTTTTCCTTAAAGACCTAAGCTGTTAAACTAGTCCTTCACAGTCTCATTACTATAGCATCTTTCACGGACTTATTACTGTAGCTTTTATAATTTTTTCCCCGACCGACATCTCTCTTTTTTTTTTTAACGAGTTGGGTCGTTGAGATTTAGTTTGTCATTTCTTTTTTAATTTGTTAATAATTTTTTTTATATATATAATACTTTTGATATAAATTTTTGGAACATGATTGTTTTATTTTTTAAGGTATATTATTATAAGTTATACGATTGATTATTTTTATAATTTTTATATGAAAATGTTGGTGTTGCTTGCTTATATAAATTCTAATGAGAGAGAAAGAGCTAAAAGTGTGTTTTAAATAATTTGACTTTATTTTTTTTAAAAAAATAATAATCGATTAAAAAATATTTTGACTTGAATTTTTTTCAAAAAATTAATAATTATTTAAAAAAATTCACAATTTTATTTGGTTATATATAAATATATAATCGATTTTATTTAAACTAAATTTATAGTAGTTTTTATTTAAATCTATTCACTTCGACATATTTCATATAATTTAAGTGGGTTATACACACACACACACACACCAACTAGGTGCGACCCTCGCTTTTTTTTTTTTTTTCTTTCTATAATTTATTTTATATTTTTAAAAGTCCGGCCATCAATCTCATGATAGAACAAAAAAAATTTGGCTAATTATTTTAAATCTTGATGTGTTTTGGGATTGGATTACCAAGAGGTTAAAGGAAACTCTTAAAAGAATATACATATTGTTATAACATAAGTCCTATATAAGTTAGGCGGTCATATAGTTGGTCCTTTCACCAAGAAAGAAAACATATATATTATTGGTACTTTTAATGCCCTTGAACCAATATTAATTATATCTTTGATATTGATGTTAACATACATATCCGATTATTTTATTCTTATTGTTTAAAATTTATTTCTTTAGTTATTTTTTTCTTATTAAAATTCTCATTAAATTAATTTTTTTAAAATTTTGATATAATTTTATTTGTTAATAAATTTGATTTTTTAATATATGAATTTTGGAATAAAAATTTAAAACGTCAATGTTTTATTTTTTAAAAATATATTATTATAATTTATAAATTATTTTTATATTTTTAAATGAGTGTTTTACTTATATATATATATATATATATATATATATAGACACACACACACACACACACATACACACACATAAAAAGAGAGCTAAAAATATATTTTAGATAATTTGGCTCAATTTTTTAAAAAAACTAACAATGAGTTCAAAAAATTCACAAGTTTTATTTGCTTTTTTATATATATTTATTCGAATTTATCGAACCAATTTTGCTATAGTTTTTATTTTAATCTGTTGACTTCGATATATTTCTACAATTTAGATGGTTTTTTCTCTTAATTTTACTATTTATTCTATATACGCTAAATATATATATACGAATTGTTAACTCTATATATGTAACGATTGTCCGCCCATAGTGTAGCGTGGGTATCCAACTAGTTTTAAACTATACAAATTATGTTGATATTTATTTCAAGAAGTAGAGACATGAGGGAATATATTCGAATGGTCTTGAAACTTTGAATGGCTTTAAAATGTGGCTTAGGAGTCAATGTCATGATGTATAACCCCTTTTCTTATTAAAAAAAAAGCTAGGAAGATTAGTTTTTGCATAATTATCCGGATTTTTTTTCCCTTTTTTATTTTAATTTTGATACGTAAATAATTATGGTACATGAAAAACAAATTAAAAGGCCAAAAAAAAAAAAAAAGGAAGCTCAAGATGAAGAAAGGAGAAATCCAAACAAAACATCTAAGTTAGAAGTTCAAATGCAATGTCAAAATTGTTATGCTCATGGTCATAACAAGAGAACATACAAAATGAAGGGCTAAGAGAACGCAAACCTACTAAAAAACATGTAAGTGAACAAATTTAATATGCTAGCATTACATTGTTGGTTAATGTGACTTATTATACATGTGGCATATTTAGGGTAAAAGAGGAAAACTTGTAAAGAGTTCAACAACTAGTCATGCTTCCCAATAAGCAAAATTACTAAGTATAGTTTAACTTAATATGATAATTCTGGTTTTTGTTTTAATTTCCCATAATATGCATTTGAAAACCATTACCTATTATAATAGGCTAAAAAAGGAAGACCGATATTGATCGGAATGTATGTGTTTAATTACTTAATTCCCATGCATTTTACTCGTTTTGAGATGTTCAAATGTTAGACTTTAACTCGCTTTTGTATTTTATATGTCAAGATATAGAATTGGTTGATAATTGTGTTAAAAGAGCCAAATAGAGAAAATTGTTGATCAAGGCCAATTTAGACACCGAAAAACATGAGAAGCATGGGCACGTTGAGTAAAGGCATGGGCACGCGGATGCGATAGAACGTGGACATGCAAGAGCATGAAGGCATGGGCATGCTGAAACCGTAGAAACGGAAAATAGACCTTAACTAGAAGACAAATTCTATTGCAATTTACCCGAAAGGAGACTAGGATTTTCTATAAAGGAAGAGAGAGGAACTACAATTTTGTACCCTTTTTGGGAAATAGAAAACCCATATAAATAGGAATATAGCAGAATAGGGCGGTCATCTTTTTTTGTTTTATCATTCTTTGGAGTATTGTCGGCGTTATTTTTTTCTCTTCTCTCCGATCGCTCGCCATGAATATTGTCATGAGCGGCTAAATCTCTTTTCTTGGTAAAGGTAATTGAAGCTTTAGGAAATCAAAAATTTTGAGGGGCTTAAACATTAATACAAATCATTTTGTTCATTTCAAGTATTAAACTTTCTTTTATGCTTGTTTTCATGATTGATTAGGTTGATTTCTAACATGCATAGTTGGTTTATTGATTGATCTCATCTATAGCTA